CTCTTATACCAATGGAAAAGTATCGGTTTGTAATACAACGTCACGATTGTAGCTTATAACATAACTGATCGTATCTGTAAAAATAGCTTTCTTATTACCCAATTTGGATATAAATCAAAAATGAGATTCGGATTTGTACACACCTAAGTTATATAGTGGAATTACTTCAAGCTTTATTTTTTCCCAAGTATTTTTAATCCATCTAAAACTTACTTGGGTTTTTTTGTCAGTGCGAAGTCAATATTCCTATATTTCATGATATGCTCCATTGAATGACTGGTTATCATATTGTTCCCACAAACCAAAGACAAAATCGTCACAAACCATGTAATTTAACCATAAACCAAATTTATGATATCTAAATAATGCTTATACAAGCCTGTACATTTGATGTATCCTATACAGGTAGGACAAAATGTGTATATCATTAAAACATTATTATTAAGTATGACTGCTAATCGTATATGTAATTTATCATATTGAAGATGCATGTAAACTGGCGTCCCCAATGTACAAAATGAGAATATACTACTATTACTATTATAATTATCAATGAATGCGTTTTCCTCTCAGACTGCTCTGTTCTAGGGGCGAGATGCAATATACTGGCAAACGTGCTCATAGATTGATTGACGCTCTCTTTCACCAGTTTCAGGATATCATCGAGCTTTGGCTCGATACCCTCATCCTCCATACGGAAGCTTATCTTCACCCACTTCCTTTGCAGTCGAGTAGGTAGACGTCTTGCTATTACTTCTAGTATAAAACTCGAGTTGAGGTCACTCATTCGATTCATCGAAATCATTCCATTCTTGTAAATTAGCAAATTATCCAAAAACTCAGTGAGTGCCTGGAGTCATCCTGTAATTGACCACCATTACCCTTAACAGCCTCGAATAATTTCCCTGCAATCATCGAAGGTCTTCCAAACCTTTGGCGTAATATGCTCATAGCCTCGTAGTAGCCCTCTTTTGGCTTCATAAACTTACAGCACTGTATGGCTCTTGCAGCAATTCCAGTGCAATACCTCATCAAATACATTAACTTCAATTCATCATTTAATATAAAGCCACTCAACATGATCTCAAACTCCTTTACAAATTGTAAATAATCGGCTGGGTTTCCATCAAAACACCGTGGTTCAAATTTAGGGAGTTTGATGTTCCTATTATCCCTGAACGGCGAAATAGTAACATCAACCATGTCATGTTTAACATCAGACACATCGTTACAATTAACAGACAAGTCACCATGACTTACTTTCCTGTTTGCATCCAAGACACTCTGTCCCTTCTTTGACCCAGGAATCACCGAACGTAACCGAAGTTCCAGAAAGTTCCAGATATTGCTTGTTCAAAGAAGACTTCGCCGGCACCAGGAAAGACAGACGGAGACTATCCAAACGTAAGAAACTCTCACCAATCGTCTCAAACTGTTACCAGCCGTCAGAAACTGTCAATCACCTCTCATAAACCGTTAATCCGCAGCTCTTGCTGCGCCGGGCCTCTCGCTGTCCCTCGAAGCCTTTCAGAAACGCTTAGTACTAACGGACGCAAAACCAAAACACCGACTGGGGACTCGAGAATTCTTTATTCTAACATCAACATATGAGTAGCATAATAACTAAGGTCTATGAACAATTATTACAATAATAAATCACGATATTACTTCTGACGGTTTTGTACGTTCTTTCTAAACAGCGATCGATGAGACGATGACTGGTGTATTGACGCCTCCGCGAAAATATAGGGAAGTTGGGTTTGAGCGAACAACAATGAATTGATCGTTCAATCTTCAACTACATTGACAAATTATCTGAAGTCGAGTTCAGAGTGTACGTCAGAGGTTTGTGATCATTGATTATTATGAATTCACGACCGTCTACTTAATGTTGAATATGTCGTATACCACAGTTCATAGCCAGAATTTCTCCGCCGAATGTGCTGTACTTGATTTCGTCTAATTGAACGCGCCTTGAGAAGAAATGCTAGTGGTCGCCACTCTGTTGGCTAGCTGTTTTAGAACTGCACCGATTGCAGTGTTTGATGCATCGACCGAGATAGTTAATGGTGCCGTTGGATCCTGATACATGAGAGGTGTGGCATTCGCAATGACATTTTCAATCTGGGTAAAGGCATTTCGAGCAGACGCGTCAGTTTCGATAAACTTGTTATTCCCTCGAGGAATGTCTGTCAATGGCTGTATCAGAAAGGCCCAGTTGGGAATAAAGCGTCGACAATAACTTACCAAGCCGATGAAAGTGCGGGGACTTTTCATCGTCTGTGGCTCTGGAAAGTTCAGTATAGCTTCGACCTTAGTAGCCAGTGGGCGAATGCCCTTGCAGTCAATAGTGTGACCCAGGAAGTCGAGTGAGTCAACACCGATTTGACACTTTTGAATAATAATGGTAACAGCATGTAGGCGTTACCTTTCAAATACCAAGTCCAAATGTCCAAGGTGAGTTTCCTTTTCTGGACTGGCAATGAGGCAGTCGTCTAAGTATGCGTATACAAAGTCGAGACCGCGAAATACTTCGTCGATGAAGCGTTGGAATGTTTGGGCTGCATTCCGGAGGCCGAATGGCACACGCATAAATTCAGAAAGTCCGAAAGGCGTAATGATAGCCGTTTTCGGGTTATCTTCTGTTGCCACCGGGACTTGGTTATACGCTTTAACCAAGCCGATATTAGAGAATATAGCCGCGCCAGATAATGTTTTCGTCAAGTCGTGTATATGAGGCAATGGGTAGCAATCAGGGGTTGTTTTGGCATTCACTCGCCGGTAATCACCGGTGGGTCGCCAATCATTGCTATTCTTTTTTCGGCACCATTTGTGGTGGGGATGCTCATGGGCTATTCGATGGTCGAATGATGCCAAGGGTGAGCATATCGTCGAACTCGTTCCTAGCGATTCTCAGTTGGTCAGGAGCCAGTCGTTATGCTCTAGGTGTTACGGGTTGTCCTGTAGTAATGATATGGTGCATAACATTGCTGGTTATGCACAGTAGGTCGCTGGACGGGCAATTAAGTTCCCGATATTTGTCAACAATGGGTTGAAAAGTTGGATCAAGGATTGCCTTTATCTTAACGAGTGACAAGCTGGGGCCTATGTAGGTGATTCCTTTGGCAGATAGACTAGTAGTATTATCAGTCAGTCGTTTTCGGCGGACGTCTATGATTAAATCATGATGATTAAGTAGGTTCGTGCCAATGATGGGCATTGTGACGTCAGCGAGAAGGAAAATCCACCGAATAGGTTTGCGTAAACCTACGTTCAGATAGAGATATTTCCTACCAAAGGTTGCGATTGGTTTTCCATTTGCGGTCTGTAAGTTGAAGGTAGGTTCCTTCTGTCGATCTGCTGCTGTAGGAGGAAGGAGGCTGACTTCGGCACCTGTGTCGACTAAGTATCGAGTCTGGCTGATCACATCATGGATGTAAAGTAGGTGGCTAGTGCAACCGGTGACGGTTGCCACTAACGCGTGCAGGCGGGATAGTTTCCCACAGACTTTGAGACATTTCCAAAGTTACAAGGCTTACGGCAACACTTCGCTTCTTGGCCATAGGTGTTGTGGTACGAGCACCAATCAGGCTTTTTCAGACAACGTGGCTTGGACTTAGATCGACCACGTGAGTTCCTGTGTTGAGGAGATTCAGGACGACTTCGGAGTTAGAAGGCATGTTTGACCCAAACATCTGCTGGATGGAGTTGCATAACTCTCTCATTGGAGTGTCCTTGCTCGAAGTCTGTTTGGCCACCTAGCATATTTCAGGAGCTGACCGTTCAGCTATTTCTAGACTCTTATCTGTAGAAATAGTTAAGTCATCTATTATAACACCCTGAAGTGTCACAAGTACGGTCTGCACGGACTGTGGCAGCTTGGATAAGAAGAGTTCTCTAAAAAGTCCTTCATCAAACTGACTTTGGCCAATAACCTCTCTCATTCTTGCTAGCATGCTCATGGCTGACTGATCCCCTAACTCGATGTTACGAAATAATTCATCCATACGTTGTCGGTCCGTGAGAACGTTTCTCTTAAGGAGGGATGCCTTGAGCAATTCGTATGAGTTACTTACCTCGGGACTCAACACCTTCAAAGTTACGCACTTGCTGAATTCCCACGGTAGGGCGTGAATAACTGCAAGTAACTGTGAACGTTGATCGGTTATCCCATGCTCACAAAAATCTGCTTCAGCTATCTGAAACCACGTTTCAGCATTATCTGGCCAATATGGTACGAGCTGAATGGTTTTAGGAGTTGAGCGGATACGAATGACCTTGGGACTAAGATCACTCATGACGAATAGTATGTCGAATAATATATGGTACAAGAACAAATACAAAAAGAAAACAAACTCACAGTGGTTATCTGCGTATTTATCGTAGATGAAGTTCGCGGTTGGTCTCACCAGTTTAGAGGTTGACGGTTTAGTACAGTACTGGGTTTATTAACGCGAGCTCTTATACCAACAACTTTTAATGTATTTCAATCTCGCTTACCAAAGGCAAAGCAAAAGACAGTATTTGATCGTTCAAATTACGCGATATATTTCGGGACCAAAACGAGTTGTTAGACGAACGCTTAGTTGGCTAGTGATCGTGCACTAACGTGACACGACGGAGCACCAAATGGCGGGGATGCTTGACCGAAAGCCTTGAGCTAAACAAGTCGACTTAAACTCTAAGGGTCAGCATCCAATGCTCACTGATGATTCCTATGGTCAATAATTTAGGGGAATTATTTACCGCTACAAACCCAAAACTACTTTTCAAACAAACTATTTTCCCACTTTTTATATTGCCTTACAAAGCTTCATTTGGCGATTGGCAAAACTGACTTTGGAGTAAATTGTCGAAATCAGAGAACTATTATGCACTCTTAAGAAATCGATTTGGTTCACACTTGTTCATAAAAACGATATCCGTTTTGGATGGACATATGAAAGTGGATATTGGACATTTGTTTTATTCTTTACTAGATCCTAATTTCGTTTATCATTATGACTTTCCGCTATTTGCTGGTTCTTAATTTTTACATCCTATTTCGCTACTGCGGCACCAATGTTCTTAACTCCTGGCATCGATTCATACAAAATCCGGGTGTGGCACAACTACTTTCTTTCCGCAGAGCTTCTCAAGGAGTTTTTATATCAGATGCTGGAAGTCTTTTGAGAACATACAGTAGGGGGTTTCCAAGAGGCATTTGGGGAACGTTTTTATTTCCAGATATATATAAAGCAGCGGATGCTAATGCTACAGGTAAGACTTTTCGTCAGTGCTGAATGACTCCTAGTAAGATAGAATTACGTGTCAGCTGTCCATGATGACTGTTGTGATAGACATTTCAGCTCACACCGAAAATGCTTGTAAAAAATATAAAATCCAGCAAATTAAAGTTCACAAAGTTTCTATTATACATGCTAAGATTCACATAATTAATGATTAACTTCAATTATAGACCTTTTAATGTTCCTAGTAAAAGGTTGGAGGAATTTCTAAGCACTTAGGGAGGCTTGGTGCATTTAGGTTATGGAATTAGATTAATTTCAGGTGGTTAAATCTAAGCGTTACTCGAGGAAATGTGGATATAATTTTTGGAAATTTATGAAAGTTTTTAGGTTTCGGAAAACGCGGATTTTTCGACATACTTTCCCAAAATTTTCACAAGAAGCCGCCCCTAAATCCCCGTCAGACCTCCAGCTTCCCCCTGAATTTTTATTTGGGCGTCTCTGTATATGTATAGTTGGAGCAAATTACTGTCTCACGGTATGGATACGGCAGAGTACTAAATATGCAGATGCTATCTTACGTTTGTTGATATTATAGGTTGGTGGTAAACTGACTTAGGACTTAAGGAGCATTTCAATACATTAATACTAATTTACTTAGTTTAGTTTACTTGGCACACTACTGGTGTGGAGTTGCGTAAACAATGGAAAACATTTTTAATCCAACCACAGTGTAGAGTTTCTTGAATAATAAACTTGATTTCCATGTACCTAACTCTTCCATTTCTTGTAGGATTATTAGTCCGTAATGTTATCATGAAAGGCAATTTAGCTAAGAGTGGAAGAAAGCTCCTCATACATGTCGACTGCCTAATAGAACTTTCTTTCAGAGCTCTTTGCAACAGATTATTCAGCGATAGCTTTCAAAGGAGAACTCTGGTTCAAAATAGATATTTGATTTCAGGATTAACAAAAAATTCATGATTCAGTATTCCAAGCTCTCTGAACTAAACTGAAGTCGTAGTTATGGAGTTCAACCCTAAAAAACTGCTACTTATGCCTAAGCTGGGCCATTGAGTTTTGTTGGTTACTAGTATGGTTACTCAAAGTCCTGTATAAAGTAGGCAAATTAACATTTACGGAATGTTAATTCTTCACCTAATATGATTTAAGAAACCTCATATTCTTCAGTGGATAACGTTGAGAGCAAAACCTACTGTGCAGCCTTATAGTGATTGGAAAAAGTGCGCCCAAGCTGCTTATTGCAGGAAAGAATATTAGTAGTCACAAAGTCGTCAAAATGACTGTATCGACACGATTAGCCTTGAGGTTGCAATAAAAACTGTGGAAACAAATATCAGCTGTCAAAAAATAATACATTAACAGTCAAGTGAACGGCAGATGTCACGTTTTGAAAGATGCCAACATTAACTTGTCAATTTCTTTCCCGGCTTTAAGATAAACATAATAAAAGACGAAGTCGAAAAGCTTTTCCCTCTGAAATCATAATTCCCTGAAGTAAGTTTTTTCTTCTAGTAAATATTATGAGTTAAATAATTATTAGTTCTTAAACATTAATCTGTACTGTATAAAACAGAAAATATTAAATATGAACCACGTTTATGAGGTTTATAGAATAAATTTTACAAACACTTTCATTATGCATAAGTACACGTGTGTCGCAATACTATTATAAGGACTATGTGTATATTGGTGTCCAGTACGTATCGTACTTATTGACTTGGAGTTGGCACGTAACCACTTTGACTGGAGAAATCTGTGGCAATGCTTGGTTATGAAAAGAGTGTAGATAAATCTTACTGTACTGATTAAAAAACACTTTACTCATTTTCATGAAGCGGAAGATTTTCTGAACAGTATTCACCTAAAGTGGCGACAGTCTGTGGCATTCGTCACAGATTTAAACTGTCATAATTTTTATTTATTTTTAATACAGATTTATTGACGGATATGGCCCCTAATAACTTCAACATCTCCAGGATTGACCTGCTACCAATAAAGTCTTACTGATATATGGCAACAAGGCATTTTATCTTATAAAATAAGAACGCTAACATGATCAAATCTTCTGAACACCCTGAAGAAGCTCTGAATAAGTTGACCATGTGACTCACCCGTTTAATATAAAAGATGATGTTGCGGAATTGATGGGGATCCGTATCTGAAGAATAGGGAGTAAGATGGCTGTGTGTTGATCACTTCAACTATTCGAAAATTAGCACCAGCCCAAATGGACTGATGTTTGCTGATGAAGTCTTAGAATACAAATCACGGATTCATTTAGCATTTGTTGACTTGGCTAATTTAAAACTTCAGTTTTAAGTTCATCTAAAGAGTATGTGTGTACTCTACTGCAGTTTGATCCTTCTCTTTTCAAAGCTGTGAGATATGGATACTGAAAGCAGAGGATATGTAAAGTTTGGAGATCTTGTCATATTTGCCTGAGTTTACTGTTTAATCTGAAGCGTGGTGATTAGGCCAGCAACTATAAGATTTTGCCTATAGGGTTAAGTAAGGACATAAAATAGTTCGACAAGTTTGTGAACATGAGTCAGTTGATATGACTGGGGCTTGTGCTACGCATACAAAGCCACCACCTTTCCTGATATTCGCTGCTGGCAGAAATAACAGTCAGTTGGTGGATAGTAACATAAAGTCTGTCAAAAATATGGTACCAGTCTAGGAAGTCCTTCACTTTTGATTTTAGCCACATAGAAAGTTATAGACTTCCTAGCTGTGGTCCTGAAGATTTTGAGAATTAGTCGTTGTAGATCTTTTCTGACACGTCGAAAAGTCATCAGCGATCAAGCAGATGTATTAACTCCGGCTTTATCCTTCAGATTATGAAACTCTTGGCTAATTTTCATCTAATCGTTATCTCAGGAGTCCGTCTTCATCCACTTTGATTCTATTACATTCTTCACTGTATTTTTTGAATGCTTGAACTGAAAGATTCCTGTGCTAAGGTCTACAGCGATTTGTCATTCAGTCTATGCATACCATCTGTCAAACAAAAACTATGAAATATAGTGATCTATATTTTGTACACTTTTACTAAACGAGATATAAATTATTTAAGAAATGTAGTAAAAGGGGTACATGGGAATCACCTTCTGTCAATGCCAACATTTTCCATTATTCCTTAGTCTCTGGTTAAGGAAAAATACAAGAACCACTCAGGATACAGAGCTCTATCTTAGTAAAAATACATTCTGCATTTATGGTTTCTTCGGTTCTTTCAGTGACCTTTCTGCCCTATCTTCTGCGGCAAGAATCTGATTTAAATTCAGAATTTAATTTTTCAAAGATTTGCTGGATTTAGGTCGGTTCACATTAAATTACTACAAACTCATTTCTGTTCGATAGATGACAATTCTAGATTTACTGACTTACCAGAGTAAAATCTGGCGGAAAAGTGTAACATTTCAAGCCATCAGACTTCAGTAAAGCACACATAATAGTGAAAAAAGCACGGGACAGAAACTATAGCGGATGAAGATGCATACTACAGAGAGAATAATTACATGAAGATTAGTGGATATTTCCATAACCTGGAGTGTGATAAAGAGTTAATGCATCCACGCTGTAGTCAGTGTTGACTCCTGCCGTCAAAAGTTTAATCCTATAATTTCCTCAGCTTTCAAGAACATTTACTCTAAGTTACGGAATAGGTCATTTTTAGTATAGAAATGCATTCTACATTAGACTTAGAAGAAATATTTCTCCAGTTTTTCAGAAACTGATGCATGAGGTCTGGTAAGATGCTTGTGACGACAATGGACACACAGAAATCAGCAATTGATGGTCACGCTACATGTCACAAGTTGACAGAATTCAGAAAGGATGAGCCAATGCATTTCATTCCAGTAGCTGAATGGCTGATGCGCTTGCCTCGTAATTTGAAAGTTATGGATTGGATCTCCAGTAGAATCATTGGTACGTATAGCTGAAAAGTCACACAGTAGAATGAAATAGCCATCCAGCAATCCCTGATTCTCATGGGGTCCTCCAAATGAACCTAATTCACAATGAAACTAGACAAAGGATAATTCCTAATCAACTACTGAGTACTTCGACTCCATTATGAATTAAATCCCTTACCTACCTGGGAAGCATCGTCTCAACTGCAGGTGGATGGAACTGACGAGGATATCAAAGCAAGGATCGGGAAAGCAGGACAAGATTTCATTACTTTCAAGTCTGTGTGGAGGTCAACAACACTCAGCATCAAAAATAACATCCGGATTTTCAACTAGAATGTGAAGTCAGTACTGCTTATCATACGTACGGATCAGAGACCTGACGTGTCATTAAGAGCATCTTAAACAAACTACAGACTTCCATCGACAGCTAGTTGTCTTTGCTCAATACTCAAGATCAGATGGCCGGCCAGAAAAGATCAACAACAGGGATCGGTGGCAATGAGCGAACCAACCAGGAACCGATTGTGAAACAAATAGGCAGGAAGAAATAGAGGTGGATTGGTAGCCATACTCCGAGGAAACAATGCACCAAGTGACCTTACTAAACAGGCCATTGCTCGAGTGGAACCCGAAAGGGAAGCGGCGAGTTGGTTTTCAGTGTGAGGGTGACTTGGAGGAGGTCATGTGAAGAGGAGATGAAAGCATGTGGGCAGACTTGGAGCCAGGTGAAAACTCTAGCAGAGAACCGAACGCAATGTAGACGCGCGGCTGAATCCTACATTCCTCTAGGAATTAAAGCAAATAATAATAATTTTCACTTACCTCAATTCGTTGTACAAAAAGGCAGATTGACTTCAGCAAATTAACCAACTGAAGGTTTCAAGCAGAGTAGCTGTTTTAAATTGATTTGATTTAAACATTCACTTTCTGAAGAAATCAACTTCATTTTTTTTGAGATATTTGAAGTTAGCATCCAATTTGGAAATATTTACTGAAGGTTTACTGTTGAAATAAGTATTATGAAAGTGATTAATTATTTCGCGTTATTCGTGTCACTTCAAAATATATTTCGAATTCTTATTTTCTT